AATGAACAGCAGACCCCAATTCCATCCAAAGGAATCCTGACAATGTATTGCCGTAGATGAGGAACAGCTGATCCCTCCTGGAACAGGGACCTCTGGCTGACTAGATTTACCAGAAGGGCAGACAGGGGGAATGGATGAGGGTGCTGACAACACAGTGGACAGTGACAGGGATGGCAGAGTATGGAGCCTCTAGTGGGAGAGGAAGGCTGTCTATCTGACGAGTTTGTATTCATGCTCAGATGCCGAGGAGCTCAGAAGGTGGGCGACTGTGACCAGTGATAGTCATGTATATAGAGATTAGAAAAGCATGTGAAAACATCTCAATGTCAATTGCTTTGGAATAAATTCTTCTGTATGAAAAAAAAAAAAAAGTTGTGCTGTAAAGTATTCCTTGAGAAATGTTTATAATTCTATGAGAATGTAAATAGTTTCACAGTAATTGTTTTCCAGTTAGAATATTCTAACTTAATTGCAGCGCAGTCTCTTTAATTTCTTGTTCATTAATTTTTAACTAACTTCATAAAAGAATAAGAATAAAAAAAATGTGATTTATTTTAGAAAAAGTTACCTGGACTGCTGAAAAGAATGTATATTCCACAGCTGTTGGATGAAATATGCTATAAACATTTATTAAATCTACTTATTCTATGTTGTAATTAAAAAAAAAAGTTAAAACCTCATTCAATTTTGTGTCTTATAGGGGTTATACTGAGTTCAATATTGTATAACTATTAATTTAACTGTGAACCTCAAAATTTACAGCTAATTTTGAAAGACAAGCATCTTTGCGCTGGAAATTGTTATTGAATATGTTAATGCTGTAATGAAATGCTTCTAATCATGTGGTTATTAAATAATTTTAAAAAATTCAATAAAAAACGTAAAAATAAAAAAAAAGCTGTTACAATGTTCCTCATATATGGTAATTGGTTTTTTTTAGAAGGACTATCCCATTATATTCAAGAATGGAAATCTGAAGCTTGGAGGGGAAAGAGAAACCATTCCCCGGCCCAAAAAATGGCCTATTGCTAACATTCTGGCTCCAGGAGCTAATAACATTCCTGATGCATTCATTGTGGGTGGTCCCTATGAAGAGGAAGAAGGAGAACTCAACCATCCTGAGGTGAGAGAGAGGTTTTTGTGATAAGCACAGTGCACTAAACAGATGATTAAAACCTCTTTTGAATCACTGAAATTTACAAACCTCTGCCGCTTGTATAAAACAGTTAAAAAGACCTGGGCATGGAGAGGCACACCTTTAGGCTCAGCACTTGGGAGGCAGAAGCATGTAGATCTCTGTGCGATTGAGGCCAGTCAGGTCTACATAGTGAGTTTCAGGCCAGCTGGGACTATGGGAGACCCTTTCTTAAAAAAAAAAAAGTTATATGTTAAAATAAAATACCATTTAATTATGATGCTAATGTCTTTCCACTTAAGTCCAGCAAACAAAATAATTTATATCTAATTTACTCTTTATTTTAAATTTCTTATTTTTTAGGTAAATCTGTTAGTCAGCAGTCACCATAATAAAATACACAAGATAATCAATTTATAAACACAAAAGAGTTATTTTGGTTCCCATTTTCGGAGGTTCTGCTCTGTGATGGATTGGCCCTATTGTTTTGTACCTAAGGACCACCCCCAATGCCTATTCAGCTTTATTTTCTAAAGTCACCATAACCTAATAGTATTGCTATTCTTGGGGCCAAGCCTTTATAACACAGAGGTCTTTGTAAGATATTCAGCATCCCAACTGTAGCAATAATAATGCAGTTACACTTCAAAATAAAGAATTAGGATGTACCCAGTAAACTCCCTCCTCCCCCTCACCTCTGTCTTCCTAATTCTTTCCCATCTCATTACCCTAGTAGTTACCTGCCTTTACTATGTTGGCATTTGAAGCTCCCACATGAGTTTTAAATTTTTTTTTCAGACAAGGTGTCCCTGTAGCCCCAGCTGGCCTGGTACTTGCTCTATAGACCAGGCTGGCCTCAATCTCTCAGAGATCTGCCTGCCCAGCACCTACAGGATTAACAGGCATCCTGGGTTGAGACTCACTAATTGAGGTTATGTGATAAACATTTGGCACTTAGTAATGGCTTTATGTAAGCATTGTCTTGAGTAATTCATCTACTCCAAGTACTCAAATTTAAGGGGGTTGTAGTAGTTATAATAGTTGTATATATGATAGTAATAAAGGTGTGTGAGCAATTCATTCATTAGGGGACCACCCTGTAGATCAACATTGAGACCAGAATTCTCCATCTTATTTCACAGGACAGGGAATTTAGGAACCAAGCAGAGTGTATGAAGAAAAGGATCGTTTGGGACTTAGAAAGTCGCTGCTACCTTGATCCTTCTGCAGTTGCAAGGTAGGAACAGAAAAGGAGTATGGCTGAGCTCCTGTCTGCAGGTGGGAAGAACATTATTCTTGCTTATTTTGTTTACATACGAGTTAAGCAATTTGAGACTTCCGCATCTGTTTATCTGCTAGTGATAGAGGCATCCAATGACAGACCTCACCAAGGGGAGCCTCATGAAGGAAGGTTACACTCCTGAAGGAAGTCTAGAATGGTGTGTAGAGTAGCTCTGTAGGGTCATGAGGTTCCAGGCTTAATCTTCCTTTTGCTCAGCTTTCTTTAATGTGTGCCTTTCTTCCACACAACTGTCTCATGGCTCATGCCTGCTAGAGCCCTTCTTTGCTTAACATTGCTGGCAGAAAGTGGGAAAAAGGAAGCGTTTATGGATTAAAAGGACACATGCTCTTGTAGCCTTCCTAGAACCTGATAGCCTCTGTGTGTGTCTCATTGATGATCTCTAGATGAAAGAAAATGCTAGAGAACGAACTTTTAGTTGGACACATTGTTACGCAGCATGCATCAGGGTATAATTACTAAAGAGCAGAACGCTTGACAGTGGAAGTTAACTGTCAGTCTTTGTTATGGTGACCTGACTACACATGAGAAACAGGATTGTCAGTGTACGTGCGGTCTGAGTCCACAGCTCTGGAGTTTACAAAGCACTTCCAGATCTATGAGAAATTGGCAGATATTTCGGGGAGTTCTTACACACTCCTGGTCCCCTCCTTATCATGTTCACAATTCCTTTTATATGTTGTTGGATTTGATGCACTAATGTTTTACTGGGGATAAGCTCTTTCTCATATTACTTTGAAAAAATAATATTAGATAAAAAATATTAGTTATTAGAAGATAGTATTAGACCAATGAAGAGTAAGAAAAAATTTTAATTCATTTTACCTTAATTTATGAAATTATTGGCCTTCTCGCTTTTGTGATATAGGTCTGAGTCCCTGACCCAGAATATTTCTCTGTAAAGAACTTTAGCGTTTCTTATATACACACTAAATACACATGTACACATCATCTTTCCCTATCAAGATAGGCCTACTAGCAGTTTTTCTTTGTCTGAGAAAGGCTTTATTTCTCCTTTTGAAGGATAATTGTAGTGAGTATAAAATTTTTTTGAGTGAGTATGAAGTTTATTGCACTGCATCTCACAATGATTTGTAACTCCAGTTTTGTTTTGTTTTTTGTTTTTTGTTTTTTTTTTTTTTTTTTTTTTGTCTTTTTGAGACAGGGTTTCGTATCCCCAGCTGTCCTGGAACTCACTATGTAGACCAGGCTGGCCTCGAACTCACAGAGATCTGCCTGCCTCTGCCTCCCGAGTGCTGGGATTAAAGGCGTGCTCCACCATGCCCGGCAACTCATTTTTTTTTTTTAAAAAAAAATTAGAGTCTGGGGTTAGAAAGATGACTCAGTGGTTAAGAGCACTCACTGCTTTTGCAGAGAACCTAGGTTTGGGTCTTAGGACCCACATGGCAGCCCACAACCTTCTGTAACTCCAGTTCCAAGGGATCTGACACCATCTTCTTCCCTCTGCAGGTATTGCATGCGTGTGGTGCACATACATAGGGAAATACTCATACACAAAAAGTAAAAATAGGTAATTCTTTCAAAACAAACAAATAAACAAATTAGAGTCTGGCCAAGCATGGTGGAATATGCCTTTAATCCCAGCACTGGGGAGGCAGAGGCAGAGGCAGGCAGAGCTCTGTGAGTGCAAGGCGAAGCTTAGTCTACATAACAAGTTCAGGTCAGTCAGGGTTATGTAGTGAGGTCCTGGCTCAAAAAAAAAAAGTCTGCTTTGATCTTTTTTAGTTGAAATGCACTGTACTTACGCTGGAAGCCTGTTGGTATGGCGACAGATCATTGGGGAAGAGGAATTCTGTATGTTTTCATAGGTTTCATACCTTGTGCTGTTGCTCTCAGAGGTGTTCCAGTCTTTTTTTCCTCTCCACTTTTTGTGATACGGGAGGGCTGGACAGAGCCACTGTTGTCTAGCTGACCCTCTTTCAGAATACGTAAGTCTCTGGTAGTTTTCCTTAAGGGTCAGGCCTTTCTGACAAAGAATATTCTGGGAATATTTCAAAACATTTACTTTCCACATGTGCCTGAAATATAAGATTTCTCTCCTGTTTTTGGAACCCTGCAGGCCTCCTAGAATTAACACCCATGAAAATGTGGTAAGCCATAAGGTTGGGTTCTTTGGAAGTTTTGTTGTTGTTGTTGTGGGTTTTTTTGTTTATTTGTTTAGTCTTTTTGAGACAGGGTCTCCCTGTAGCCCCAGCTGTCCTAGAACTCACTATGTAGACCAGGCTGGCCTTGAACTCACAGAGATCCATCTGCCTCTACCTCCCAAGTGCTGGGATTAAAGGTGTGCGTGACCACACCCAGCTTGTTTTGAGACAGTGTCTCACTATATACTCCTGACTGGCCTGGAGTTGACTATATAGACCAGGCTGGCCTTGAACTCATAGGGGTCTGTCTGCTTTTGCCTCTCCAGGGCTGGTATTAAAACCCCCATGTTCAGCTCCCTGGGGTTCTTAACTTTAGTCTCTAACAATTTGTCAAACTTAACATTACAATATTTCTTCCTGAATTCAGTAATTTTGGCTCTCCGTAAATGGATCTTACTTTAAATCTCTGTGTTTGCCTCTCTCTCCAAATTTTAGGTCATAGTTTCCTTTTTATCTCAATTCTCTGTCGCATCTGAAAAAATACTAATTTTTCATTTGACTCACTTTTTTCTTGCTTTAAGTACAGGAGAGAACACTTTAACACTGTTTTCTTTTTAAACTTTTTATTATTATTATTTTATTTAATGTGTGTATTGCCTACGTGTGTAAGTGCACCTGTGTAGCGTGGTGCCCATGGAGGTAGACGAGGGTGTTGGAATCCCTGGAACTGGAATTACAGGTGATTGTTAGCCACCATGTGGGTGCTGGGATGCGAACCTGGGTCTTCTGCAAGTTAGTCAGTGCTCTTAGTTAGTGCACTGAACCATCTCTCTAGCCTCAAAGAGCACGTTAACATTGTATCAGAGCCAAAACTAGAAGTCCCATCTGTTTTCACAGTAGAAGTGAACATACTTTACATTTGCAGACTTGTATGATCATTTCTTTAGGATAAATCATTAGAAGACTATGAACATTTCTGTATTAGTTTTGTTTCTCATTGCTGTGACAAAAGGCCTGACAAGGCATCTTAGGGTTTGCTGAGTTTGAAGGTGCAGTCCATCGTGGTGGGGAAGGCACAGCAGCTGCAGCCCATGACAGCAGGAGCCCGAGGCAGCTGAAAACTAGGGGTGGAGAGGCCCTCAGGAAGCAGAGGCAGACACATGCTGCTGCCCCAGAGCAGGGCCCCAGCCCATGGGATGATGTCACCTACATTCCTGTGTGTGTTTGGGAGGGAGGGGGTCTTCCTTGCACTGTTAAACCTATCTGGAAACACTCTTACAGATGTGCCCAGGGATGTGTTTTTCCACTATCATGATTCTAAATCCTATTGAGAATTAAGATAAACCATTACAATTTTCAAGTTTTTATTTTAATGTGTATGAGTGCATGTATATAAGTGCACACATGACAAGCAATGCCCATGGAAGCCAGAAGAGGGCATCAGATCCCCTTGAACTGAATTAAGGATGGTCATTACCTGCTGTGTGGGTGCTAGGAACTGAACCCCAGCCCTCTGCAAAAGGAGCAGGTGTTCTTAACCTCTGAGTCATCTCTCCACCCCTAGTTTTCAAGAGCTTTGTTTGATTGTTTGTTTTTGAGGCAGGGTCTCATTATGTAGGCCAGAGTGGCCTGGACCTCAGTGTGTAGCCCTCAAATTTGTGATCCTCCTGTCTTAACTTCCTCTTTTGGTTTTTTGGGTTTTTTTTTTTTTGGTCTTTTTGAGACAGGGTCTCCCTGTAGCCCTAGCTGTCCTGGAACTCACTATGTAGACCAAGCTGGCCTCGAACTCACAGAGATCCCCCCGCCTCTGCCTCCCAAGTGCTGGGATTAAAGGTATGTGCCACCACGCCCGGCAAGGCTTTTGATTTGTGTTGCCAAATGGTCTTAAAAGATGTGCAGATTGAAATTGTTAACAGTTAAGTAAAATTATTTTTATAAATTTATAAACTTGGAAAGGTTTAAAAAAATCAACAACCTGGACTAGAGAGACGGCTTAGTGATTAAGAGCATTTGCTGCTCTTACAGAGGATCTAAGTTTGGTTCTCAGCACCCACATCAGCAGCTCCCAACCACCTGTAATTCCAACTCCAGGGGATCTGATATCCTCTGCAAGACACTGCACTAACAAGCATGTAGGCCCCCAATACATAATCAAAAAATAATAAAAATGAATTTTTGTTTAAAAGTAAGCAACTTAGCCAAGCATGGTGGTGCACACCTGCAATCCCGGTACACGGGAGGTTGAAATAGGAAAATTCTGAGTTTGAGAGCAGTATGGGCTACAGTAGTGAGACTGTCTCAAAACCAAGCAGAAAATTACCTACCTAATAGCACGCACGCACACACACACACACACACACACACACACACACACACACACACACACTGTTAGTTTCTAAATACTTTGTTTTACAATATTGTAGATTAAACCCAGGGCCTTAAAAATGCTGTGCAAGTGTTCTACCACTGACCTATGTCCCCAGAGCATTTTACTCATTACTTTCTAAAAGAGAAGACTATTTCCCCTTAAACTATGGCGATCTATTTTTGCATGTGATACTAATGGACTGATTTTTCATTTGCAGTTTTCAGAAGCGAATTGCTGATTGCCGGCTCTGGCCTGTAGAGCTCACAAGAGTGCCTTTGGTTGTTGTACCCAAAGGGAAAGCTGGAAGACTTGAGAAGGTAAATGTGCATACTCAAAAATATCTAGAAAACTGGATGTGGTGGCATCTGCCTACAGTTCCCAGCACTGGGAGACTGAGATAGAAGATCACTTGAACGCAGAAGTTTGATACTGACCTGGACAATAGAGACAGCCTTCGTCTCAAATTTTTAAAAAATTATATTAGAAGTAATGGTTCAGGGTGCTGGCGAGATGGCTCAGCAGTTAGGAGCACAGACTGCTCTTGCAGAGGACCTGGGTTCTGTTCCCAGCACCCATGTGGCAACTAACAACCACCTGTAACTACGGTTCCAGGGGATCTGGAACTGGCCTTTGCAAGCTTTGTTTGCATGTAGTGGGCCTACTTACATGCAGGCAAAACACTCCTACACATAAAATAAAAGTAAATAAATATCTTTTGTTTTGGTCTTTTTTTGATACAGGGTCTTGCTGTAGCCCCAGCTGGCCTGAAACTCACTATGTAGACCAGGCTGGCTTTGAACTCTCAGAGATCTGCCTGCCTCTTCCTCCAGTGTTGGGATTAAAGGCATGCGCCACCACGCTTGGCAATAAATATCGTTTTTTGTTTTGTTTTATTATTTATTTATTTATTTATTTATTTATTTATTTATTTATTGTCCGGCTATTATTATTATTGTCTTTTTTTTTGAGACAGAGTCTCCCTGTAGCCCCAGCTGTCCTAGAACTCAGTATATAAACCAGACTTGCCCTCATCTCACACAGATCTACCTGCCTCTGCCTCAGGAGTGCTGGGATTACAGGTGTTTGCCATCACACCTGGCTTCAAATAAATGTA